AGTCACTGTAACACATCGCATCATAGATACAACAATGGCATCTTATCTCAAAGGTGTAAATAAATCAACAATGACGGATGTAATGCGTAAAACATTGTGCGAGTACAACAAACATAATCCAGGTAGCACTAAAAAAACATAAGGACGATGGACTATGGTCAAATAAAAAACACTATGTGTCTACAAATTATTAATTTATATATTATGTGGGATTTATATGAATTTTTTATAATGTATCTTCTTATAAATTTAGTGAATTATTAATTTACCATGTTATCTCCAAGTCGAGACCGGTCAAAAATATAATTTTAATGAAGTATTAATTTATTAGGTGTGAGATTATCGAAGTTCTATTGTATTTACTTCCCAAGACATGAAAATTTCCTTCAACCTCAATACATTGTAGTCAAAAGTAGTGGTAAAATCATGCCATATTTTAACCAATAACTTCATCTTCCAAGCTTGTTGGAAGAAAGAAGGTGTTGTTGCTGACATTGAAGCTAGTCAAATTCCTAGAGACAATTAGATGAAGGGATATACCCAGAGAAGGTGTTGTTGCTGACATTGAAGCTAGTCAAATTCCAAGCTTGTTGGAAGAAAGAAGATGGAATTGCACCATGGAAGTGATTGCTTGACAAATCTACTGTTCGAATATTTTTGGATGGTAGAGAAAACGGTATCTCTCCAGAAAGAAGGTTATAGCTCAAATCAAGGATCTCGAGGTGATTCAAGGACGAGAAGAATTTGGTTTCAAGTGCGCCATAAAGTGAATTGTGGGAAAGGTTCAAGTGGGTGAGATGTGCGAGATTTGCAAGTGATAAGACAAACATATATCCTTTGAGCCCTTTGGAGGGTAATAGCAAATGAGTGACCAAACCCTCTTGATTACAAGTGATGCCGTTCCAAAGGCAACGATCAACATAACTACTCCAATTTAAAGAAGGAAAAGATAGAGCGCGGGCGAAGGCCAGGAGAGAGATACATTTAGTTTGGTTGCTTGCATGAATATTTGTTGTAGAGATAATGCAAGCGAAAAAGAAGATGAAGAGGAAGCCATGAGCCATTTTTTACTTAGATATTGCTTACAATAACATGTCTACATATATATGTATATATAAGAGCAACCTCTCCCATTTCTAACTCCAATTCCAATCCCACTACCACCTCCCAACCTCTTCAATAATCATTTGATTGAGAATCCAATTCCACTTGCACTTCTAACTCCAATTCCAATCCCACTATCACTACCACTAACTCTCTAACCTCTTCGATAATCATTTCATTGAGAATCCAATTCCATTTCAACTCGTGTAAATTGCAGGTTTAATATCAATTTATTTTGTTGGCTCCATTTTAATATTATTTAGTGGCGTATACAACATGCATGAAAACAAAAGATACAAGTACGATCATATATGAAAGCATGAAAATTGCAGTCACCGGTTCAAAGCGAAAGTAGAAGATAAGTTACTCAATAAAAAAAAAAAAAATCATCACTTTCAATCTTAAGCACCAAATGAGTGTAAAAAAATATTATCGTATTGCAAACTGAGAAATTGGCAAACAACCAAGACCGCACATTAATGTACATTTTCCAAATCCTTCAATATGTCAAATAGAGATTTCCAAACTCCTTAATACGTTGAAGAGAGATTTGCTCGTAAGATTCATTTCTTCCATTCCCAACTACCTAACCAAGCCATAGAAAGCAAGTGCAGCTCCTCCCGAGGCAAGGCATAAAATTCCACACAATCGTATAAAAGCAATCAAGGATGGTTATTAAACAAGAATAAGAAGAGGAGGAAGACATGAGCATTTTTTTATCTTAGATATTGCTTACAGAAATAATATATATATATATATATATATGTATGTATGTATGTATGTATGTATGTATGTATATAGCAATAAGCGAAGACCTCAGTTGGTCAAGATGGGGCCAAACTGAGAGAACTAGCAAACAACCATGACCGCACGTTTGTCTACATTTTTTCAAACCCTTCAACACGTCAAAGAGAGATTTCCACACACTTCAATACGTCAAAGAGAGATTTCCAAACCCTTCATTACGCCAAAGAGAGATTTCAAAACCCCTCAATATGCCAAAGAGATATTTCCAAACCCTTCAACAACTAAACGACCTTAGTTTTAATTGATTTTTTGCAAATGCGATCTTTATAGATTGATTTATTATATGAACGGCTCTAATCATAAATACGAAGTTATATAAATCGGCAACAAACAATTTTGAGTAGGAAATCCTATTCATACTTTGAGTAACAAAGTATTGTTCATTTTGTTAGGAGAGTGATAGTGTTAGTGGATTATATACTTAGTTGGTAGGGGGAATAGGAATCGGTGGAGAAATCCGCACCAAAGTGCATAGGCATGATTATTTTCTATCATTGCAGTAAAGCACCATCAGCATGATGGATTGTTATTACTCAAACAAGATTTCCCAAAACGAAATATGATAATCCAATGATCCTGAAGGATTGTAGATGACATTAAAACTCAGGATTGCTTGAAAAATAACAAAATCAGGATATTCTCTAAAATAACATCCATAAAAAAGGGACAAAGTTTAATATTTGAAATCACATTGAAATGGTTAGACTGTAGTAAAAGGTTTATGAGCTGCATGCCATCACCCTGCAGTATTCTTGAATGTATATAACAAATGAAATGATGTGCTATAATATTAGTAAGTATCGTCTGATATCTAGGAATGGGTTAGATTGTTTAACTCTCATTATATCTGTTAGGAGTAATGAAGGACTACAAGCTCATCAAAGGTGTAAAGCACCAGATTAGGACTTTGTATATGTTAGTTAAGGAGGTGCTGAGTCAGCACATATAGTTAGATTTGGTATTTATGTATAAATACCCATGTACAACCAATTACACATGAATGAAATACAGTTACACAATTATCTCTCTCTACATTTCTTTCTCTCTCTAAAAGCTTAGGTTTCTTCTCCACTAAGATAACATTTTCTACATTATTGACGTATGTCAAAGGAAAAAGAAAAAAAATGTGTTCAACATGAAGGTATAAGATGAATTTCTTATTAAGGAAACTCATCACTTTCAATTCTCCAAAAATTGTATGACTTAAGGGGATAAGTTTCTTTCATGCATAATCTCCTTCTAATCCCCTAAAAATAAAAATCATTCACCTTTGTCTTCAATTGAGCTTGAATCTTATCCAATCAATCTAATGAATCTTACATACCAGACAAGCCTGAAAGATAATATCGCATTGCCAAGTGAGCAAATTGGAAAAAAAAAAAAATGTGTTCAAACCCGTCGAAGGGAGTTTGCGTCAAAGAGAAATTTCCACTATTCAAAGTAAACCATGTTTTTCTTTTCTCTTCACTTTTAAATTGATATTGAATCGAATTTCGCAAATGCAGGGTTCTCCGGGTGTTAAAATCAGCTCATGCAATACTTTCCGAAGACACCCGGCATTCGGGGAAGTTGATCCACCATTAACAGTATAAAAAATCCCATTGCAAGTGATTGGGAAGGTGAAATCATGGGGCTCCATCTCTTAAGGGATGCTGGGATGGATACAAGGGATCAGTGATCCTGGTACGGAATTGGTGAGGGTCTTCTCCCCACTATTTTTTTCTTAACGTTTAGAACAAGTAGTGCAGTTGAGGCTTTCCCTCATCGTATACTACGTAAAATGGAATTGTTGCGTGTATTAATTTCAATCTTTTGTGCAGGCAAAGCGAAGTGTGGATGAAAGCATCCCTGTTATTCGTGTACCTGGGCCGTCCGCTTATGGGGCTGCTCTCTCTGCCTCTGGCCTCTTGGACCCTAGATCCCTGTGGGGAATAACCGTGATCATATATATAGACGAGAAGCAATGAAAGTTTGAGGAGTTCGTGCATACAATGAGGCTAGCATCATTTTTTATTTATTTATTTATTTTTGTTAGTTTGGAATTTAAGTGACATTTCTTTTGAGAAAAAAAAATATATATTAGTAGATATGTTAAGCAACAATCGTCTTAATGATTTTAGAATATTTGAACGAATTTCAATAAAATTTTAACAGTATGTTTCAATTTAGTTAGTTTCAAAATGAAGAATTACTAAAAATTTCAAAATTGAAATCCGACATTTTGTATATTTCCAAGGCTTATGTAAAAATTGCTTCACAATGTTAATTATTGTCATTTTATGAACATTGTTAATTGTTCATATAAAAAAAAATATAAAAAAAAAAAAAAAAAAAACTCAGATCTGAAATTTGTTTGTTTTGTTTTTTTTTTTTAATTAAAAAAAAGGGAACAACTGGTGGCATGCCACCGTTATCCACCCCTTATGGGGGGCCGTGAAGACTCACAGAGGCATTTCATCCTCACCCTGGCCACAAGTCTGGCTTCCACACCAGTAGCAGGTTTCGAACCCAAGACCTCCAGTTTTTAATTTAAAGGAAGCCTTTCAATTTGTCATTTACTATTGGGCCACCACCATGACAAAACTTGAAAGAATATAATACTATTGTTAAGGTTACTAGGAGTAGAATTCTCTTCCCTCCTTATTCAATCTCTTTTCCTCTCTTCCTCTCACATTGTCTTATGTCTTTCTATAAAAAAAAGTTAACACGTCGTAGTCATAACCGTTCAAATAGGAGATGAAAGAAGCGGAGGGAGATTAGAAGAAGAAAGAACCCTACTTCGGCTACCTGGACACAAAAATTGACATTTTTGTAGACACACTTTAATATAAGAGAAACCCAAATACAATGGTAAAGCTCACATGCACCAGAAGTAAAAACTAAAAAGTGTGTCAACAAGAATGTTAATATCGTGTGTCCAAATAGTTTTATTGTGCTATCATATATATTAGAACAAACCTTACATAAGGATAAAACAAACGATCAGAAACAGAAAAAGTCATACCATTTGAATACACGAAATTAACACTCTTTAATACAGGTGTGTTCCCCATATAATGATAGGGTTCACCTCTACTAGACAGTGTCAACAAATGGGTAAATTTTGTGTATCCAAATTGTTTTATTTAAACTTGAAATACATAATGAAAAGTACAATCTAGTCCCCAATCCTATCCAGGAATCGAAAATATGCGTACCTCCATATCTTGTTAAGAACAAAAGAACCACAAACTCCCCCAAAATCCAACAATGAAACCTAGGGCTACAAAAATATAAAACCATGGAAGCTCATCACATTCATTATCCGCATCTTGGTCGACGTTATTCTTATTATCCGCATCAATGTCTTTGCACTCATTTGGAAGTGGAGCGCCACAAAGTTGAAGGTTCCCCTCAAATGCAGAAGCGTCAAAGCTCTGGAGCTGCGTGCCTGTTGGTATTTTTCCTTTCAGATTATTGTAGGAGACATCAAATTCTTTCAGGAAATTAAGGCTTGTTATTGACAAGGGAAGTTCTCCGGACAAATGATTCGTGGAGAGGTTCAAAAGCTCTAAATACTTTAGTTTAGATATTTGATCTGGAATTTCGCCAAAGAAGTTGTTGCCGTTAAGATGCAACTCACGAAGAAGCTGCAATTGGCCGATCTCAATAGGTATAACACCACATATGTTATTGGCTGCTAGGTTTATCATTCCTTGATAAAAAGGCAATCTACGCGGCCAAAAACTTGGATTTTCCTTTGAGCGGCCAAGGAGGGGAAGTTCAAATTCATAATTGTCTAGTCGAGATGCATTCGTCATTAACATTGGTAATCTACAAAGTTGTTTTTGAAATTCACCTGAAATCTGATTGTGTGACAGATCCACAACAAAGAGTTTTGGAAGAGTCCCCAACCAACTTGGAATTAACCCTGTGATTTGATTAAAAGCCAGAAACAACATGCTTAGATTCTTTAGATTTGATAACCATCCAGGTATATGACCAGTGAGGCTACAGTTAGCCAAACTCAACATACGAAGATTCTGGAATCCGTGAAAATCAACCATGTCATCATCAGTTGGCATTGCCTCAGAGTCAAACGAACTGGTAAGAAGGAGTACATGAAGACTTTTGCAACGAATTAATATCTTCATTGCCCCTGTGACATTGGTCAATCGTAGATAAGCAAGCGAGAGGAAGGACAAAGATTTCAATGAAAGAATCTCAGGTTGTATTTGTCCTTCTAGATAAGGATTATTACTCAAACGAATTACTTTTAGGGACCTGCATGAGTAAAGGTTCATCGGCAAACTACCAGTGAAGTTATTCCTAATTAGGTCAAGTTTACTAAGGTGGCTGAGTTTGGAGAAATTAGGCATGGTGAGGTCCCCATCCAAGTAGTTAAATCCCAAATGTAGTTCTACGAGCTTTGTGCAATTCATCAAAGATTGAGGCAAATTACCTTCTAAACTGTTGAAATCAAGAGCCATGTATTTCAACTTGGAGAGCTTCCCAAAATTGAGAGGGATTGTACCACTCAAATAATTAAAGTAAAGGTCAAGGATTGTGAGGTGGGTGAGGTTGGCAATTCTTGCACTAATGGCTCCATTTAGTGAATTGAGAGGTAATGCAAGTTCCTCAAGTTTGGTAGCGTTGTAGATATCTTCTGGAAGTGATCCTGACAAATTATTGTGCCCAACACGAAGAATTTGCAGTTTGGAACACCCCCCGAGCCCACCAGAAATGTTTCCACTAAATTCATTGGAGGAAAAATCCAATACTCTTATGGAAGAAGAGGATCGGAGATAAATAGATGAAGGGATGTATCCAGAAAATGTGTTGTTGCTGACATTGAAACTAGTCAAATTCCAAGCTTGTTGGAAGAATGAAGTTGAAATTGCACCATGGAAGTGATTGCTTGACAAATCTATTGTCTGGATATTTTTGGGTGGTAAAGAAAACGGCATCTCTCCAGAAAGAAGGTTATAGCTCAAATCAAGGATCTCGAGGTGATTCAAGGACAAGAAGAATTGAGTTTCAAGTGCACCATAAAGTGAATTGTGGGAAAGATTCAAGTGGGTGAGATGTGTGAGATTTGATAGTGATGAAACAGACATACCTCCTTTGAGCCCATTGGAGGGTAGAAGCAAATGGGTTACCCGACCATCCTGATTACAAGTGATGCCTTTCCAATGGCAACAATCAACAAAACTACTCCAATTTACGAGAGGGGAAGATAGGGTAAGGGCAAAGGCCATGAGGGAGGTGCATTCAGTTTGGTTGCTTGCATGAATATTTGTTGTAGATATAATAAAAGAGAATAAGAAGACGAGGAGGAAGCCATGAACCATTTTTATAAACTTAGATACTTCTTACAGTAGTAGGTCTGCAAATATAATATATATATATAGGAGCAACCATAGGTATGCAGCTTTGTATAATTTGTGTGTGTGTGTGTGTGTGTGTGAGCACAAAAGATAATATTTCATTGCAACCAACCATGACCACACATATTAATGTACATTTTCCAAACCCTTCAATACGTCAGAGAGATTTTCCATAGTGAAAAGGACCTTACTATTTTCAGAACAGCAACTTGTATCTTCCATTCCAAGCTACCAAAAAGCCATAGAAAACAAGCGGAGCTCCTCCCGAATCAAGGCATAAAATTCCACATAATCATATAAAAGCAATGAAGGATGGTTATTAAACAAAAATAATATCCCATTAGGGTTCTAACAGAGGAATGCAACAGGTAAAATAGGGAGTGTAAAAATCAATCACTCCCCAAAACGAAATGGTTATCCAACCGTCCCAAAGGATCGCAGATCACATTAAAACTCGGGATTGCTTGAAAAATAACAGAACTAGGATATTCTCTAAGATAACATCGAAGAAAATGGGGCAAAGTTGAAAAATTGAAATCACATAAAGAAAACCAAGTATGCAGTTCTCCTTCTCCATTGAAATGGGTTAGATTGCAGTAAAAAGTTTATGAGCTGCACGCCATCCCCCTGCAGTATTCTTGAATATAAAACAAATGAATTGATGTTGTACAATATTAATAAGTAGCTGAGGGCTTGTCTGCTATCTAGGAATGAGTTAGATTGCATAAATCCACTATATCAAGAAAAAATGAAATTATGTTAAATGTGAAGGTAAAAGATGAATTTCTTATTAAGAAAACTCATCACTTTCAATTCCCAAAATTTTGTATGACTAGAAGAGACAAGTTTCTTTTATCTTAATTAAGAAAACTCATCCCATTCTGATCCCCTAAAAATAAGAAGTCATTCGCCTCCATCTTCAATTGCGCTTGAATGTTATCCAATCAATCTAATGAATCTTAATAACCAAACAAGCCTAAAAGGATATTATCGTACTGCAAACCGAACAAATTGGCAAAAAACTATAGCCACACATTAATGTACATTTTCCAAACCCCTCAATGTGTCGAAGAATGATCGCGTCAAAGAGAAATTTCCACAGTTCCACTTGTGAAAGCAAATTTAAAAGGACCTTATTGTTTTTAGAGTAAAGAACATTTTGCAACCTTGTGTTTTATGGCTATGTACAATTTAGTCTATGTTTTATAAAAGGAATAGTTATAGGAACTACAAAAATTTCATTTTGCACTTTAACCTTTTTGTAATTTGATAAAGAAAAATACAGTCGTAATGAGTGCAAAAGTACACCCCCGGTCGACCCGAAGAGTAAAGTTGTGTTCTTGGTCCTTTCCTCGGCCCATTTCCTTCAAATTGTTCTAAACCATTCCAAATGAAGTTTATGAGTTTTTGCGAATTTTCTTGTTCTTGCTATGAAAGCCTCAAGCTTGGAGCTTGACTCTGGTACTTTCCAATTAACTTTCGTAAAATTCAGGGATTCCATTGCGTATTGTGAATACAAAAGGCAGAGGAGATTTTTGCCTCACTTACCTACAAAACAAAATAGCGAGTAGGCATTTACCTAAACGTCACCTCAAGACTTGTTTAGATCCCACTAGAAAATAAGCCCGCACGTTGCAGCGGGAACCACTATTTCAAGCGTAACTGCATGAAGAAGACACATTTAACTTGAATAAATTCAACACAATCATAAATGAACAGAGAGACATGAGTGAATGAGGTCGATAAAATAAATAGCTTGGCTTTTATATACATTCAACTAAGCTAACATGTAAAGACATTGCACAATTAGTAGGGAGAAACTGAACATTCTTGATCATAGACATAGTTGCCAAAAAAGTTGTTTCCATAAGAAATAGAAGCAACATGTAGATCACACATATTTTGCCCTTGTAGTTAAGATGGCAAAATATGTGTCCTGCAGGGTAGGCATTTATTTCAGCAGTTAATAAAAAACATAGAAAGTGTTCAGTACTTGTTCAAGTAGCTAATTTTCCAAGCACAAATGTTCAAAGCCAAAAATATGCAGAAGCCTTGTTTCCATACGAAACAAAAGAAACAGAAGCAAGGCACCTGTTTTAGCAGTTACCAAAAAACAGAAAAAGTGTTCCGTTCTTGTTCGAGCAGCTAAGTTGTCAAGCACAGATGTTCAAACCTAAAAAGGAGGTAAGAATGGAATCAGACCCTCAAATGCACCAATGCAGGTAACACACTAATGCCCCTTCATACAAACTGCAGGCCAAGAAGCGCAAAAAACATTTGCATATTCCTTGAAGGAAAATTTCTAAGCCTTTGTTATATTATGTATTAAGAACCAAACTGTATCCCCCAACGCTAAATTTGTTGGGGTCACAATCCCCTTGCAAGGGTTGTAAAACTCAAAAGCTTATTGTCCAAAACCAAAACAATTTGTACCATTTACATGCATGTGCAACATATGCTTTACATTGGAAAAACATCTAAAATCAAATACAAATTTGTAAATTACGTACAAATTTTGTTTTACATTTTTATAATCAAGTAGCAATAGCAAGTAAAATTACAAACTTTTAGCAAACTGAGAGCAGAAATTAAGATGCAGAGATATCCTGAAACATACAACATACTGCATAGAAGCTAACAGTAAAGGTTTGTGAAGCAAACTGCAGCATGAGCGTCCTCTTGAACAAATTGGAGGTACTTTAACCTCAGTTCCTCCTCCTCAGTCAAAACAATTACAAAAACATAGTAGCTTAACTAAAAAATGCATGATGAAATGGATAGTTTTCATGCACAGAGAGAGAGAGTACTTTAATTTTTTTTTTATTTTATAAATATGAGACAGCTATAATAATATATCTAGCATTATCTCTTAGTTACATGTATAATAATACACAATTTGATGCGTGCCCAAAGTAAATCTTTTAGGAATGTCAACTGGCTAAAACATATTGGAAAATAATCAAAATAAAGCACTTTTGGTTGGTTAACTATTATAAACAATGGAAATTAGTATGAAAGTATTAAACTAAATCCCAATTAAGACAAAAGGCCTGCTTGACCAAGTTTAATAAACCAACATACTGAGGAGGTAATGCCAACAGGCACATAAATAGGAAGATTTGCAGCAGCCGTTCTGGAATAGCAACCGCTCGAACTACTTGAAGCGGTGCATTTAACTAATTTTACTCGGTTATGAACATATCAAAACTGCAGAGGGAAGAGACAGGGGTGGTTGGGGGGGGGGGGGGTGGGGAAGAGAGAGAGAGAGTTAGAGTGAAGGGGGAATTTTTTACAGTAATTATGCTTTACATTCTTGATTTTCTCTTGATGACTTGCACGTTAAAAAATCAAGGGTCAGAAAACCTTCAAAATGATAAATAAAAAATTATGTCCATATCATATAACGTAGTAAGGAAAGAAGCAATGCAAAAGAGTCTCTAAGAACCAAGTTAGCCTCCAAAGGCACACCTCAACAGTCTCAAGAATTTTGTTTCAAGTATAGTCTATCTTTTATTTTCAAAATGAAACATCTTTATGTACCAAGTAAATGATAACATAAAGTATCATTTTCAATCGACATAATGTTTTAATCGAACCCATACATACACACACACACACACACGTACGTATATGTGCACGCAGAAAAATCAACTATTTCCCTAGTACTAACAAAATTAGTAGTGTATATATATAACTACACTTTTGGATTTGGAGGAGGAAGCAACCATACCCTGAATATATCCAAGGCTAATGAAAGACTTGACTTGTTTGACTTGTTTGTTAGTTAGTTCTTTGCTCAAATTTCTCTCATTATATGTACTTGAACCTGAACCCATGCACTTGTACTCTTTGCAGGCCACATTGCTGCAATTTCAAATTATATGATTAACTCTCAAAACTAATTTTATGAAAATGCTTAATCATGTTTTAAATGACATAATCTGCTTACTTGTTACATTCAGGATGGTTTTCGTCGCTCCAGCCGGCAGGGCTAAACACCTTGGTCATGTTGGAGTAGGCATACACCATATGGGGTTTGCCTCTCCAAGCCCTGCCCAAATATGTGTCACTGCCTGCCCCCATTAATTATATGTTTCATTGTTAGTCACCAAGCATCAAAAGTTCTAAACCATGACTTGTAGACAAACAAAGAGATTAACTACACATATCTTAGTTAATCCACCCAAACTATGTTTTGAGAGGGGGAAGGAGAACAATCATGTGGAATTTACAGTTTATACGGTGAGACTTGCATAATCCACTCAATCATTGTCGTTCGTATACATTCTTCATAAATTATATGAAAATTATGGGGAAAACAAATAACATGCATACATCTATATACGTATGGCTTAACACCTGAGTGTAAATACACTAAATATTAACATTTAGAAAATGAACAAACCTGTTCGCGAAACATAGACCAATCATCAAGCTTCCCGAAGTTTCGAGGGACACAAAGATCGTCTTCTCATCTTCCCGAAGCTTCCCGAAGTTTAGAGGGATTGAAATTTGAAAAGAAAATTTTACATCCAATCCACCCATTACAACCCCTGGCATGAAACTAAATCCCACACCTAATCAAAAGACACAAAGCAGAAAATTACTCAATTTCAAAATCCAAATCAGAAAATAAAACCTCACCGTTTCTGTCGCTCACCTCTTCATCCCGCATATCTTCTCATATTATGATAAAAGACCTCTCTTCAAGTTTGGCCTCAGACAGTTGGTCCATCTCAGGCTAAAACTTTTCCAGACCTTAATAATTAGGGGTGGTTCGGTATGGGATACCGAACCGAAAACTATATACCAAATACCGAACTGAAAAAGTTCGGGATGAGATTTTAGCAACCGAAACCGATCCGAAATTTTGCCTTTCCCGAATTTCAGTATTCCCGAATATTTTTCAGTTTTTCGGTACGGTTCGGGACGCAGCCAACACCAGCCATCTTCAGTGGCTTCTTCACAAGCCTGCTCCTGAGAGATCTTAATACCATTCTCCTCCGCCACCTCCACCATTCTCAGAAAGCAACGACCACGGTGACGACTCCGAATCCACCTAGCTCCCAACCCCGCACCCACTCCTCTTCACAATCACATCTTCTCATGCCATTTCTGCACAAATCCTTTAGAACCCACATGCAAAAATCCAATCTTTTTCTTCGAGCACGGCGGCGACTCTGAGTCCACCTCGCTCCCAACCCCACACGGCCACACCCACTCCTCTTCACAATCACATGTTCTTATGCCATTTCTGCACAAATCCTTCAGAACCCACATGCAAAAATCCAATCTTTTTCTCTCAAGCTTCAGTGATCATCAAATGGAATTATTTGTTGTGGGTTATGAATCGTGCATGTGCAGCGCTGAGGATTCATAACCCAGAGACGAGAGAGCTTCAGAGAGGATAGAGAGAGAAATGGGTCGAGGCCAGAGACGAGAGAGCTTCTTCCTATCTCTGATTCCCAACACAAAGACTGCTTCTCTCTCTCTCTGCCTCAAGAATCAAGATTCAAAACCAAAACAAAAGCTTTGTGCTTTTAGTTTCCAAAAAAGCTTTGTGCTTTTATCCCAAACCGACAAGGCATCACCATCACATGCCTTTCCCATATTATTTTATTTTTGTTCCTTTGCTAGTGGAACCGAAAGGCTCTGCTTTTTATTTTATTTTTTCATTGTTCTTTGCAAATGTAGCGCTGGAAAGTAGGAATAAAAAACAAAAGAATATTTCGGGATTTCGGGAATACCGAACAAAAGAAATCTGGAAACCAATTCCATACCGAATATTTCGGTATTTTTCAGTATGGGATTACCAAAGTTCGGGATAGTTTCGGTTTGGGATTTTTCGGTTTGGGTTTGGGATTTTTTCGGTTTGGTTTGGAATTTTCGGGATTTTTTTCCAGCCCTATTAATAATCCTGCAATTCAGACCAACCCACTACAACCATAATCAGTGAACAGTTTACATTAAAACATATGAAATTACAGCCCATTTGATAGAAGATTAAGATTTCATTGTTTTAATAGAAATACCGAAAATTGAACATTTCACAACGAAGAACTAATTTCTCATTATTTAAAAATTAGTCATCAAATTTCATAAATAAAATTAAAAATAAAAAACCCCAAAAGAATGCAAAAAATTGGAACCTTTGGGTGAGCAAGTAGAAGACATCGCCCTCATTCCACATATTTCCACTGTGCTATAAATTCACTACTAAAGAGCAAAAAATTCAAGTTTGTTAGTCATAATATATCTCAAAAATTAACTCCTAAAAGTAATAAGAAAAGAAAAAGCACTAAAATTGACAGGGAAGAAAAGTTAAATTGTTTGTTAGTCATTTGAAATATCCAAGTCGCAAATTCTAATTCTCTATAACCGATCAGCCATATTGAGCTCATTTGTGCCCTCGATACAACCTATGAGCCACATTGAGCTCATTTGAAATATCCAAGTCGCAAATCCCCCCCACCCCACAGAGCCCATATATAAAGTGACAGTTTACCTTCGGAGTCTCAAGAACACGGCCCTTGACCTAAGTCAAGTCCTTATTTATAGAAATACCACATGTAGCAAGCACAGGATCATCATCATACTGGTCTTTTTTCATAGCCTGCAATAGTAAATCAAATGAGCAAGAAGAATTATTGCAACATGTGGTAAAGAAACTAAACCTTTCATGACCCGCAAACCAATATCAGTCATAGTTCTTATTCTTTCCTGAGGCTTCTGCCTTGATTTTTCAACTAAGGATGCCCTCTGCTTTGAAGATAATGCTTTTGTATACCGTTTAAGCGAAACTAATGAACAAAGCTAAAACACCAAGAGAAACCCCACGGGGAAGCACAAATCTAGATATCAGACAAAGGAGTTCCAAAAAGATAAGACTCTCTAAGAAAGAATGATACGACAATCAAAAGACACTGGCATGCCTCCAGAGGCAGAGAGTATGGTAAGGCCTTTTGGGCTTGCCATTGATCAAAACCCTAAATAATCAAACCAAATCATTGCACAGAGTTTTCAAAATATCTTTATCTTAGTGCCATAAGGAGAACCCTAAAATTATAGCTTAACTAATTGAAAGATAAGTAGAAATAAAAATACTCAATACTTACAGTCACTGTCTCAACTGAACAATAGCCACGGTCCACATAATCTCCCATAAACAAATAGTTTGTATCTGGGCACTGCAAAAAAATTGCAACAGGAAATTAATGTTATTTTTGGAAAGTGAAACATCCAACAGAACAAACCAGAAAACTACAAAATAAGGAAGAGAAAACATCACCAATAAGTAGCAACCAATTAACAACCTTGAAGAACACATACGATAAATTAAATAGCCCAAATCAGAACAATATCTTTCCTCCAATGCGGAAAAGCTCCGCCAGATCAAGGAATTGTCCATATCACCACAGATAGTTACAGGGCTTTTTACAGGCTGCAACACATAAAACCCAAAATGGTTATTCATTTACCTCATGACATGCCCAAATCTTTATAGGTCCAAGACCTGTATGAAACAATACAAAGAAAGACATGAAACAGAAACTTGCAACTATACTAACAATTCATTTTTATAAATATTAATGTATTATTACTTGGTCTTTATGTGGAACTATAAACATAACCACTATTCTTTTAAAAAACGGTTGATGGACTTGCTTCTTTTCATTATTATTATTATTATTATTTTTTTTTACATGAACACGAGATGTCAAATATGTCATTGTCACCGCCCATCTCTATTTTAAAAGGTAAAGGTTTTAATAAAAATAATAAATAAAAGAATGTTTCGCTAATTTTTTTTTCCGAATTATTGTAAATGGCCAATGCCGCTACTTACGTCATGTTTCCTACATTTTATCCAACCTTTGTAAAATATATCACGTACAAGAAAAGAAAAATAACAAATACATATTTAATGATCAGAATGTGACATTTTTTTTTTGACGCAATTTACATGAAATGTGGGTAAACTATAATGAAAATTTGGTCATTTATAATAGTTCAGGGAAATAGCTAAATGAAACTAGGATAAAATCCGCAAATACGGTATTGATTAAAGGGGAAAGACAGCGAAATAATTTTTTTATTTTTAAGTTTTTATTTGTTCTTCATATAGTAATTGTTAATTAACTATGAGAATTATTATTGACATTTCAAAAAATTTAATTATGCACTCTAAAGTTCTTATATTTAAAAAGAAAAATATTCTTTTAAGGAGTGCAAATTAAATTTTTACAGTGTCAATAATAGTTATCTTAAATATTTGTCATCAATAGAACAATTTTTTTTTTTGAGCCCCTTAGAGGGTAAGAGCAAATGAGTGACCCAACCCTCTTGATTACAAATGATGACGTTCCAATGACAACAATCAACAGAACTACTCCATTGCACTCCATTGCACAAGAGAAGATAGAGTGAGGGGGAATGCCAAGAGAGAGGTGCGTTCTGTTTGGTTGCTTACAGCTAACAAGTCAGCACACACACATGTGGGCGCAACCAAAGGTTTGCAGCTGATTTTATTTTATTTTTAATAATTTGTATTTATTCTTTTTTTTTTTTGCTTAGAATTATCCAAACCCCCATTTACGTTTGAAGAGAATTTCATGGCATGAAAGAAACCAAAAACCGAAGACCTCCATAGGTCATGACTAAAACCACTAAACACAACCAGAGATTAAGAAGTTGTTTTGCCACTAGTATTATGTTCTAATGATGTTTCTTCTTATTTGTAAGTAAGACGTTTTAAGTTCAACTCGTGTAAATTGCGAATTCATTTCCAATATATTGAGTTGGTTTTCATTTTAATACTATTTAGTGGCGTATACGGCATGCAAGAAAATAAAAGATACAATGTCTCTCAAGAATGCATGCAAATTGTAGTAACCAGTCGAAAGTGAAAATAGAAGATAAGTTTCTAATTGAGCATAAAAAATATCTTCACATTGCAAACCGTTCAATACGTCGACAAGAGATTTCTTATTTCTTCCATTCTCAACTACCAAACAAGGCATAAACACAATCGTATGAAAGCAATAATGGATGGTTATTAAACAAATAAGATATAAGAGAATTGTCACATCCCAGACCGGCTCCGCCGTAGTACGATATTGTTTGTTTTGGGCCACGTTCTCACGATTTTGTTTTTGGATTTTGGCACGAGAACTTCTCAAGGGGTCACCCATCCTAGGATTGCTCTCGCCCGAGCTCGCTTAACTTCGGAGTTCCAATGGAATCCAAAGCCAGTGAGTTCCCAAATGGCCTTGTGCTATAAGGAGGGAAGTATGTACATATAAGGCAGATCACCCCCTCTCCGTTGGTCGATATGGGATCTTACAATCCACCCAACTTAAAGGGGAACCTAGCGTCCTCGCCGGCACATCCGCACCGAACGGCAGAGTGGCTAGGAGCTCTGGAAGTTAGACCAAAAACTTGCAAAATTTCAGGTTTTCATAAGGAAGGCGAGTACAGTTGTACTCGCAAGCGTATGGGCGCGTGGCTGCTTGTGTATGTTATTAAACTAAGTTAATTAGTAATATAGGGGAAACGTATCCTGAGGACGTACAGGGTCAAGCAAGGCTTGGAGGTTTCGTTTCAACTACGTATCTGTGAATGGGCAGTTTATTCTATATATATAGCTCATAGTTTCCACAAATGCATTTAAATGATTTACGCCTGTTATGCCACAATTTTAATTTAATTTGGTAATTATTGCCTTGTGATTGGAATTATAAAATGGATATGACATGTTCATATGCATAATTACCTGCTTATAAATATGGTATTGTGGCAGAATACTAAAATGATTCTACAGGACGTGCAGGTAAATTCAGGTGAGTTTAGTATATTGATTTGAATTGTATGACATACACATATTCATATAGTTAGCTCATCATTACTACACCCCCGTGTTAGTGCTCTCGCCCGGGGCCAGGGCTAGGGCTAGCCTTCACGTATATGTTCACCTGCCACACCGTATGCTCGTCTTGGATCCAAGTTAGGTGCTAGCATGTCGTACAGGTCGTGTTAGACGACTCCGACTTGTAGGTGAATGCGATTAGTGCAAGCTTCACGTGATCGTAGCACAAGAGCATATATTATTATT